GATCTTTGCAACTTTAACGCACATAACTCTTTAGGTTTGGATTTCAGTGCTTCGGGTATTCTGATTCCTTCTGGGATTTTCATGTATATGTCGGTGTCTAATGATCCATACAAATAAGCAGTTACAACGTCCATGAGACGCATCTCAAGATTTTCATGGACAGCTAAACTCATCAAGTATCTGAAAGTAATTGCATCCATGACAGGGGAATATGTCTCATCATAATCGATCCCAGGCCTTTGGGAAAATCCTTGTGCAACAAGTCGAGCTTTATATCTCGTGATCTCGTTTTTCTCATTTCTTTTTCTGGTGAAAACCCATTTGTATCCAATAGGTTTTATGCCTTTTGGTATAATGGAAATAGGCCCAAAAACTTTTCGTTTATTGAGTGAATCTAACTCAGCTTGGATGGCATCTTTCCATTTATCCCAATCACGTCTTTTTTGACATTCAGCTACAGATTTTGGTTCAGGATCCTCAACTTCATTATCAATTTCTTTCGATACCATATATGCAAATGCGTCATCAATATTCATGATCTCATTACGCTTCCAAAGGTTCCCATTGTTTACGTAGTTGATGGAAATTTCAATATTTTTATTTTGTCCCGAAATTTTTCCATCATCCTGATTCTTTTTCAAATTTGAGTCAAGAATTTCTCTTTTCTTTCGAGGATTCTTATCTTTAGACCCAACTGGTCTTCCTCGTTTCAAGCGTGTCTTTGACTCACTTGGCTTATCGACATTTGCCATTTCTTTTGGAACCTCAATTCGAGCAGGGGCATTTACGGCTGCCACATGTGATTTGGTCACCCTTTTTAAATCAGTAAATGCATCTGGCAATTGATTTGCAATATTCTGCAAATGTATGATCTTTTGAACTTCTTGCTCTCTTTGTTTGGTGGGAGGATCAAGATATGATAATGCGGATGTACTCCATTCAATATTTCTCTCAATTGACTTTTCACTCCCACCTAAAGGGGGAAACAATTCTTCATTAAAATGACAATCATCAAAACGAGCTGTAAAAACATCACCTGTTTTTGGCTCAAGGTATTTGATTATTGATGGAGATTCATATCCAACATATATTCCCAACCTTCTTTGAGGCCCCATTTTTGTACGTTGGGGCGGAGCAATTGGTACATATACTGCACAACCAAAAACTCTTATATGTACAATATTTGGTTCACGACCATATGCCAACTGTAATGGCGAGTATGTATGGTATGCACTTGGTCTTATTCGAATTAGATCATCTGCATGCAGAATAGCATGTCCCCATACTGAAGTGGGAAGTTTTGTCTTCATTATCAATGGTCTAGCTATGAGCTGCAGTCGTTTAATTAATGATTCTGCTAGACCATTTTGAGTATGAACATGTGCCACATGGGTGTTCAACATCAATTCCCACTGCCATACAATAATCATTAAATGCTTGAGATGTAAACTCACCAGCATTGTCAAGTCTGACCCTTTTGATAATATAATCTGGGAATTGAGCTCTTAATTTGATAAGTTGGGCGAGTAATTTAGCAAATACCACATTTCGAGTTGATAACAAACTCACATGAGACCATCTACTAGAAGCATCAATC